ATAGATTTTTTATTTCTATTATACCACAGTACGAATTGACCATTCTTCTTCGATTCTTGATACTATTTGAGCCTTTTTAACTGACGAGGCATTTTTATTTTCTACTGTCAGTTATAGTGACTTAAGTCAGTGGAAAGCCGGTTTTACGCAATAATGTTGACAGTTTTCTCTCATTCTAATAGAGTAATTGCATCAAAAATGAAAATCCCTAAAAACCTTTTTATTGTAATCTAGAGGTAAAAACACATTGCGAAAATATTTTTTTATATTCCAAAAGTTCAACCCGGGTCCAAAATATCAAATTGAAAAAAAGGTACTTTTCAAACGTTCCGAACTCCCGCCAAATTGCATGACGTCATAAGCTCCAACTGTCAGAAATCAAGATGTCAACAAATAATAAACACCGATAAAGTTTAACATGGAAAACGCGAAACCAAAAATTGGTTGTAAATATTGTTTTGTGCCTTGTATAAATACAACCTGGAAAACTCCTGGGAAAAGGTTTATCACCGTGCCAAAAGGGAAAATAAGGATAAAGTGGATTAAAATAGCTCGGCGCGATATCAAAACATCGTCACCGCAGTCAACATTTTATTGATCATTTTAATGTAAGTAAAATAAAATGTCGTTTACTAGGTATATGGTTTGAATAGGTATGTTAAATATTAATAAACCCAAGAAAATACGGCTGAGCCGTAACTACTCTCAGTGTAGGGTCATAAACTTTGCTTTTGATAATTGAAGGGACAACTTTCCCAGGAGTTTTCCAGGTTGTATTTGTACAACAAGGCACAAAACAATATTTACAACCAATTTTTGGTTTCGCCTTTTCCATGTTAAACATAAACTTTATCGGTGTTTATTATTTGTTGACATCTTGATTTCTGACAGTTGGAGCTTATGACGTCATGCAATTTGGCGGGAGTTCGGAACGTTTGAAAAGTACCTTTTTTTTAATTTGATATTTTGGGGCCGGGTTGAACTTTTGGAATATAAAAAAATATTTTTGCAATGTGTTTTTACCTCTAGATTACATTAAAAAGGTTTTTAGGGATTTTCATTTTTGATGCAATTACTCTATTCTTGTACGCTTTTTTAATGAATACAACTGTAACATAATACTAAACAATAAAAATAAAACCATAAAATATACAAAATAATTGGTTTTAATAGAGGTTCCAATAATTATTCATAGGTTTTTTCAATTTATTTATTGTTAAATTACCTCTATACAATAATTTTTATACTTTTAAAGTTTAAAAACACTAGATCTTTGTTTTTGCCAAATTTTTAGGGCACCCTGTATAATATGCATATTCTAAATTTAACATCTTCAATAATTTGATTCAATATTTACATTCTTAGAAACAGTCTTAAGTTTAGATTCTAAACATACATCAATTAATTTATTTAATGATTTCTATGAATTTTAAGTTACTGGAATCTGAATTTATATTTATTTAAGTAGAATGTAGAAGTGGTTAGTAGAATTTTTATTATTTTATAGGTTTTCCTATAATTTTTTGCTACTTTTTTGCACGGTCAAAAATGACCTACTTTTGACACTTAAATGTCAACGAAAAAGCCGACTTTTTTGCATTGGTAATGGAAAAAAGATAATAATAATAATAGCTTTATTGACGGATATAACATTTACAAAGATCATTTTGTACTTGTTAAAGTCAAGCGCGTATCCAGGGGGGTCTTGAGGGGCACGACCCACGACCAATTTTTAATAAAAAAAATTAAATAGAACTTTCATTATAATCCAAACATTATTATCTTAATCGTTTAAATAACACTTTCATTAAACGTACTTGACCTCCCTCAAACGAAATTAAAACATCACTAATACTTTTGGAGAATTGTATGTATTTCTATAAATAATTATTGCCATACTTGTACCTATGTTGAAAAAACTGTCGTTAAAAATTGACTTTTGGATATACCCGAGTGTTTTTAAAAGTTTGGCAAACCTGCGTAGGAAAAACAAAAAAACTTTTTCATATAGCACAATTGCATACACTTTAACAATTACAAAGTATTTATGGAATCATATATGACAATTGCAAAAAGTATTTTGACTTTTTTATTCTTTTAAATAAAAATAGAAAGCAGTTATTTTTACAATACCTTATCAATGCAGTAATTCTGCAAACAATTACTAAAATAGTTATTTATGTATTAAGGGCATAATAAGGTTTTTATGGTCCGAGGCGCTATTTCGAGCCCGAGCGCGTTAGCGCGAGGGCTAGAAAAGCGTCGTAGGACCATAAAAACCAGTTATGCCAGCAATGCATACAAAACTTTATGCACGATTAATATATTATTATTTTTAATACCTATATTATTGTTTTTAAAGACGTTTACGTCAAAGAATTTTTGTTATACTTGTCATATTATAATGTCAACTGACATCAGTCAGTTTTAAAGTTTAAAGATAAATGAAATTGAGGAAGCAGCTGAAAAGGCGAAAAATTGCGGCCTGCTGCCGGTAAAATCAAAATCTTTATACGAAAAAACTTACTTCGAATATATCAAATGGTGTAACATTGTTGTTTTTAATTTTTGACGTTTCATTATAGCCCGCTGGGCCATAATAACGCCCGCGGGCTATAAAAAGACGTTTACGTCAAAGAATTTTTGTTATAATTGTCATATTATAATGTCATCGTGCATAAAGGTTTTTACAACGTTTTAAAAACGTTCGTCTGATTATTGATAAAAATATGACTGCTCTTAATCTTTATTAAATAGTAAAACGGCGTTCCATAACATTATATTCATTGCAAAATATAGAAAGCAAAATGACATGTGGTTAATAATTATTCGCGATTTCTAAACTATGCTCTAGAACATACTTATGTACATTTCAGAAAAACAAGATTTTAGCAAATTAAAAATTTTGTATGTAATTCTAAAGACCTTTGTTGTAAACGTTGAACTTCTTTGTCAAGTTTTATAAATAAAGCATTTTTAAAAATAACCTGTGAACTTTAACATTGGAATTTATTAAGACGTATTCTTAAGATAAAAAATGAACTTTAGGTCGCCATTTTTTACTCTTTTATTATTAAAATTTTGCTTAAAATTCTTTACAAGTTTTCGAGTAAAAAGAAAGTCTTCCTGTATTTAAATCAGTGGCGCACCTAAACAATATATATTTAACTTTAGTTTCTTAATGAATTAAAAAAAGTTACATTTAATTTTTAACAAATGGTTCGCAGATCTTTTGAACGCGCGACACTGCCCATCTATTTATGTATTATCTTGTAGAAAGTAAAATCGTAGTAAGCATTGGAAAGTGACAAAGTCTTTTCTCGGCCACTTTTACTTTTCCGTCCGTCTGTAAGAGGCTGAGGTAATCATTAAAAAAACGCAATTATACCACCTTATGTCCTTACTCGATAATTGCCAATAAAATTTGTTAAGAGATTTGTTGTTTACGTCTGCATGTTGTTAAAGAAATCTTTAATTATGTTTTTGTTGGCTGATACTGAAAATTTATTAATGAATGCTTTAAGGTACAAATAATTATTATCATTAAATTTAAATAAATATTGAAAATTATACAGAATAATAAAAAGTTATTAAAATTATCAAAATAAATTTAATAATTATTAATGAAGATTTAAAATCGTATTCGAAATTTATAGAAAAACAATAAAACAATTTTGATTTTTTCTAAAATAATTCTTTTAACCCCAATGGGTTTTAATAAAAAATGCTGTTAAATGTTATTTATAGTAAAGTTAAAAAGTTACCTTTATTTATAAATTAAAAATATTTATATATAGTCTTTAGAGGGTGTTTCAGAATAAGATACTGAACCTTAAGGGTGTGAATCCTTAGTTGATTTTAAGAAAAAAAGTTCAAATAAACCTATGACCTAAACCTCTTAATTTTTGAGTTACAGGGTGTTAAAGTTTTAAGAAAAAAATCGTTTTTTTTATCATAACTTTAATAACATCCTAGATATTTTTATAAAATTTGGCACACGCCTTCTAACCATTAACAGTAACTTTTTGATTTAGAAGATTTTTTATTTTTTTTTTTACCAGAGGCGTTCGTACAGGATGTGGTCTAGATATTTTTGAAAAAATATTATGCACGCCACTGTGAAAATCCTTTTCAGAAATTATAGGCACATGGCAATATGCGCATTAAATGCTTTTTATTTTTTTCATCGAAAACCGTTAGTCGTACGAAAAATGGTCAAGAAATTAAATTTGCCCTAAAATGAATGGGGATTTAAAAAATAATTTTTATTTTGAAAAATAGCAGTGGCGTGCATATTTTTCCAAAAATATTTAGACCACATATGTGGTCTAAATATATCCTGTACGGACGCCACTGGTAAAAAAAATAAAAAATCTTCTACATCAAAAACTTACTGTTAATGCTTAGAAGGCGTGTGCCAAATTTTATAAAAATATCTAGGTTATTAAAGTTATAATAAAAAAACGATGTAACCCTGTAACTCAAAAATTAAGAGGTTTAGGTCATAGGTTTATTTGAACTTTTTTTCTTAAAATCAACTAAGGATTCACACCCTTAAGGTTCAGCATCTTATTCTGAGAATTATAAAATGGCCTAAAGACAATGAAACAACTGGACCTTTATAAATTAAAAACTTGCTCATCCCAAATCTCATGAATGTCCAGTTTATGTAATTACGTAATAGTCTAGAATCGCTCAGTCACATTTTAACAGATGCATTCAGTTAATAGTGTGTCCATGAACCAGACCGAGAATTTTTTACAGCCTTGACCCTCTTAATTGGGTTTGGTTTAGAACCAACAAAAAATCGTCGGTCAAAGAGAGAAATCGTATGTTTAATATGTTAATTAGTAATTAATATGAGCCCGATAGAAATTAGAAATTCTTGAGACGCGTTTTTAATAATTCCAACCGTTTATTTACACACTGATTAGTGTTTGTTTTTGGGCCAGTTTGTAATTTAGGTTTAAATATTGATTTTTACATTTATTTTTTTACAGGCGTGGTACTACTAAAAGCCGTTCCAAATGTTGTAGCAGTAAATCAAATGTAGTCTACCACCAATAAATAATAATTATAAATTGTAATACGCATTGGATTTTTAAATTTTATACATAAGATACTGATGAAATAAAATTATAGATAAAAATTTTCAAGGCTTTTTATTAATTTTTAAATTTAATTCGGTGATTAAAAAAAGATAATTTGTAGACATATGCATACTTATCAAATATTATAAAAATGCAGAAAACAGCACAAAAATATAATAAAACAATATACTGTTAGATAATTATTAGATTAAGTATACATTTAAATTAACACTAGCACCCTTGGTGCGATTCGTAAGTAGAGAACCATGTCAAACGTCACATAAATTGTCTTTGTATATAATATTTCTTTGAGAGGCCCACACACTAAGGGGTTTGGGCATATTTTCGTGAGAACTGAATGTATTAGAGTTTTTTTGTAGTCAGGTTTCTTGTTGAACACTCGTGTATAATAATTAGTAAATTACTTAATCAACTAGGTATCCGTGTTTAATTAAAATACGCATTGGATTTTTAAATTTTATACATAAGATACTGATGAAATAAAATTATAGATAAAAATTTTCAAGGCTTTTTATTAATTTTTAAATTTAATTCGGTGATTAAAAAAAGATAATTTGTAGACATATGCATACTTATCAAATATTATAAAAATGCAGAAAACAGCACAAAAATATAATAAAACAATATACATTAAACAAGGTTATATATGGTAGGTTTTAGGGTGATTAAAAAAAGCTACTATTTTTTTTGACCTTAGGTTTTGTTGAAACTCCATGTTTTTATGTACCTAAAATTTTTGTAAAAAAATTCACATGAAGTTTGGGCTATTATAAAATTAGATAATAATTATTTATAAAATATTGCTCAAAATAATTGGGCGCCCATAACAATGGGCAAAAGGGGGCACTTGCCCACCCTGGTAATTTCCAACCCAACTTTACCTGCAAACTATATTGGTACCTACACAGAGAAAAGTAATATCTTGATTTAAGAAAATGCATTTATTTTAAACAGGTTTTCTTGTATAAAGTAAAATTTTCTTATTCGTAGTAACTTGTTGTTTACAATAAGAAAGTACTATTATTTGGTTGTAAAACATTATTTTTTTGAAAAAAACTTCTTGTTGTGATTAATTGTAAAGAAATATTTATTTAAAGCAATTGGGTCAGAATTTCTCAAACGGGCCACCTGAATTAGGTCAAAATTAGTTTTTGATTGTAGATACATTTTTTCGATAGTATTTTACATCACTAACACAAATCCTAAAGGATTTTGTAAAAAAAAAATTTTCAATTGACATATTCATGATATTAAAAGTAAAAGTTTTTAGTAATTAAAAAATAAAAAAAAATCATTATCGCTAAACTAATTATCCGATTCCAACGATTTAACTAGCGTTGGAATCTTGTTTTGACATAGATTCTTTGTTATTTTTTTCAATTGTACAAATTTCATTTAGGTCGATTTTTTTTTGTTTTTTTTATAACAAATTCGAAAATAATTGGCTTCTGCGCCAGCTATCGACTCGAAAAAAAAAACACATATACTCCAATCATTTTTCAAAATTATGCTGCTGAGAAAAAAAATGGCCCGCAGGTTCCAGACCACCGTAAGACGTCGCGTCACAAGCGCGTACAGCGTACACGGTTCGGAGCGTGAGCTGACACCGCGCGCGGCCACAAAAGGACGAATAACTTTTTGTCCACCTGCGGGCCATTTTTTTTCTCAGCAGCATAATTTCGAGAAATGATTGGAGTATATGTGTTTTTTTTCTCGAGTCGATAGCTGGCGCAGAAGGCAATTATTTCCGAATTTGGTATAAAAAAAACAAAAAAAATCGACCTAAATGAAAATAGGACAATTGAAAAAAATAACAAAGAATCTATGTCAAAACAAGATTCCAACGCTAGTTATATCGTTGGAATCGGATAATTAGTTAAGCCATAATGAATTTTTTTATTTTTTAATTATTAAAAACTTTGACTTTTAATATCATGAATATGTCAATTGAAAATTTTTTTTTTACAAAATCCTTTAGGATTTGTGTTAGTGATGTAAAATACTATCAAAAAAATGTATCTACAAACAAAAACTAATTTTGACCTAATTCAGGTGGCCCGTTTGAGAAATTCTGACCCAATTAATTAAATTTTTTGGATGTAGGTTTTGTTTCTTTAAGTAAGCTTCTACTAAACCTGAGATAAAAAGTCAACTAGATATTTACTTACAAGTAGGTATACAAGTATACAAGTATTGACCAAATATCAGTTTAAAAAGTCAAATAAACCCAAGTTTTCCACTAAATAAATATTTTTTTTAATAAAAGATAATTAATAACCCAATTTGTTTAAGCGCTTATATTGCTTTTGTCTTTTCTCCAAATTTTATGTAGGTACTTAAATAATTTTTTATTGATTTTTGGCCAACCTCCATTTTGGTGCAGGGTAAACATTTCTAGGGTAATTTTGGTGCGCTAATTGAAAAATGGCCATTATTTTGTTCGACCAGATCTTGTTCTCAAGATATTTTAAAAAATGTTGTTTTCGGCATGAAAACATTCAAATTCGCATACCAATATACTTTTTTAATAAAATAGGTACTTTAAGATAGGATCATTGGTAATGTAGTAGTAATGGGTAAGTTGACAAAAATTAAATAATACACACTAATAAAGTTTTACGAATTTGAATGCTTTGAAAAAATATCAAAATAATAGAAGCTGATTAAACATTTGTGGAATCAGCACACGCAAATTACACCAAAAAAGTTGCCACCCTGCAGCAAACCTAAACTTTTTTTTTAATGATGGTGTTTGCCCCCCCTGGAAAATCTTATATGGGCGCCACTATTAGTACCTTCTTAAGTGTCTGTATCCCAGAGCAAAACATGTTTTAAATCCACTTTTTTTTAAATCACGTTACAAAGTTTTTGCCTATATTTTTCCGCTTGGTCCAATGGTAAACCGAATATTCAAGTATTCAAATATACAAATATTTGAAAATTACCCAAGCAGCATTTTTGGTTCCAAAAACCATTACCAAAGTGGTGATAACTTTAAATTAGTTAAGTATACCATAGAGTCTCTGAAGTATACCAAACATCTATTTTAGTTTTTACTTAAAAATAATTCTAACTTTTAAATAGCAATATTTTGTAACAGAAACTTAATTCTTTCCTTAAATGGTTACTATAAAGTAATAAACATTTAAGTAAAACATGGTTGCCCCCAAGAAAACTTTGCAACTTTAAAAAGGTGTTATAAGTAAAAAAAACTTTCAAGTAAATGTAATTTGTACCAGTTACTTTCGGTTTCTACCTAAATATTACATTATAATTATTTTTACTTTGTAGTCCCTTTGCAAGTTAAAATCTCGAAACTGGAACATGAGTTAAAAACTACAAAGTTACAACTTAAAAGTTAACTTTTATTATTATTATATATATTATATATTATTTAATAATTATTATTTTAGTATTTGGAACGTTTATGGTAGTAACCAAAACTACCGTAAAGTAAATTAAGGTGGAAAAAAACTTTAAAGTAGCGAAAATGCTTCTTATCGGCCATTTTTTACTGTACAGTACCACGTGGTAATGTAAATAATAAATTATTTTAATTGTTTGGTAATGGTTGTTTACTTTTTAATAAATAGTAATTCTGTTGGTAATAATAAATATTGATGAAGCGTATTTATTTTACAAAAACTTAATTCATAAGTTCAACAGTAAAATTTAAATGGTTTATAAATTTACCTGCCTAATTAAACATTATATTGTTATAAAGTTATAAACTACCAGTACATTCTAAGCCTCAAAAAACGGAATCACTGTATATGCTATTAGCAAAAAAATACAATTATAAAAAGTTTTTATAACAGTACTCATGATACAAACAAGTATTCGTCAGCGCCAGTGAAATAAGAAAGAGGAATTTATTTATTTATATTTTAGAGTAAAACTTATATAATAATAATAATAATTATAATAATTTGTTCATTTGAAGTATTTTTATGTTCGGACATTTTAAAATTCGAATATTCAAATATGCGAATAATTCCAGTATTCGAATAATTCGAGTAATTCAAGTACCTATTCGACTATTCCAATTAATATTGAAACAAGTATTCGAATTTCTAAAACTAAAAAATTCCCAACCTTACTCTGTGATACAAATGTATATTTTTAAATGTATTGGAATAATATTAAACTAAATAAAAAATATGTATAACATATATGTATACTTTAATTACAAGTAACTTACCTTATTCTCAAAAATAAATATTTATATTTGAAAACACTGGATTCAGTCCAAAAATAAAACACAATTTTAGCTGTTTCACTAAATTTAATAAACTTTTCAATATACTTCAAACAAAAAATCAATAAATAAAATAAATAGACTATATACTGAATTAAATAAAGCAATAAGTTTATAAAATGATATTTTTTAATTACAACAATAATCCCCTGAAAAAAAAACTAGGAAATTTCGTTGTATCATTAAATTATTAGAAATTGGAAATAAGATTCCAAACTTTCACAATTTTAATTAATTTAATATTTAGTGAATCGAGGGCGATATCTCTGTTTTTTTATTGTTTAAAAAAGCGTAAAAGATTTTTTCATTATTACAAACACAATTTTAAGAGTAATCTATAGGCACTTAGTTGAGCGAAAATTCTTACAAACTAATGTTCCCTGACAAAACTAGACTTAACCCCTACCTAAGTTTTTCAAACAATAGGGATGAAATCCCAAAAAAAGTTATTTAAGGTAACAAGTACAAAATTGATTGACATTTTAGAAGGCCATATGCACAAATAATAGTCAAGATTTTGGGTCCAACAGTATTTATTTTGGAAAAAACAGTAGTTATACTATTCCAAAATATTCAGTGTTGAATTGTGTTAAAAACTATCTTTTATGCATACAGTTGTTAGTTTTAACTTTTTAAATCTAAGATATTACTTTAAAGCCTTGGTAAACATTTCATTATTTATATCAGCTGCTGTTATTACAGAGTGCAACAAACTATAATGGATTTAAAACTAATTAATCATTTAAATGGTTTTATATTTTTAAGGTCATTATACAAGATTTGCACTTTTTGCAAAAAAACTAACTACCTACAATAAAGTCAAAATTTAAAACATATTTTGGTAATAAAAAAACCCCTAACTAACCATAACTTTTGTCTTAAGAAAGTATGATCTAAACCAAACCCCATTTAAAAAGTGCAAATATCACCATAATAACTAATTGACTTAAAGCTGTATTAACGTTAAAAATATTACGAATGTCCGTTTAAAGCTACAGGTATCCTATTATAAAACCTTCTGTGAAGATCGTCGATTTTGGTAAGGTAGTAAGTACCAGGGAAGAAAGTTTCAATGCTACCAGAAGGTTCCAATGGTACTTTATGACAATTTTCTTTCCGTACTTCCAAGGTAGCCTCGAATTTCTCCGGCGATACTTTATGCCTTTGTTCTAATAAGGGTTTAATATGGCTTAGATTAGATACTAACTTATCTAAAGCTGATTTTTGTGCGCTATCTTTAGTAACACTGATTGAAAATAAGCTTGATGCTAGACCTGAACCATACGAAAATAAACCTATTTTATTACCAGCCAGTTCTTCAGCAGTTTTACTGACAATTAATGATACTAAACCTCCGTATAACGAGGGTGTATACATGTTGCCTACTTGGCTAGCCATGAGAAGAGACGGATCTGTTTTTTTGGCGAAAATATCCTTAGAGTATGCTAGGAAAGCCTTTTCTACGTCTCTATCAAAGTATGTGTCTTCCAATTTGATGTCATTAAATGATTCAAAATTGGGGTATTTTACAGCCCTTTTATCTTTTGACAGCATAATAAAATCGTTCAAGGCCAACCTAGCTAAGGATTTTTGGACTAGCTTACAGTATGGAGAATGGAATAATACCGCGTCAAAGTAACTTAAGTCTATGTTGGTGTTGGTCTTTTTGGCCACGTTTTTGCAGTAAAGTTGGTAACAATTGTCCAGGGCACTTAGGTAACATTGAATGGATAGTTTACCATCGACTGTGGGGTATTCTGATGTCAGGTCTGGCTTGTAGAAATCGTAGGCGTGCTTCACGTAGGTGCCGCGTACCCCCCTGTCGAACACCAAGGGGGCGTTTGGACCCACCAAAATCGCTATGGCACCAGCTCCGCCGGTGGGTCTGGCAGACCCTTTGGCATATACGGCGATATCACCTGCGACTACAAGAGCATAGCGTCTGTTGTACGCAGAGGATTCCACCCAGGATATAGCGTTGAATAGGGCTGCTGTTCCACCATAGCAAGCGTTTGTGGTGTCTATACCTTCGATGTCGGTTACACCATGGGGTTCAAATAGCTGCATCAAGACGGTTTTAACGCTTTTTGATTTGTCGATTATTGTCTCCGTTCCGACTTCCAAACGGCCAATTTCTTCGGGTTTTATGTTGTGTTTTTCCATTAACTTTTTGACGACGGTGAGGCATAGCGAGTTGATATCTTCTCGGTCGTTGCAGAAGCCCATTTTCTGCTGCCCCAATCCAATGGTGTATTTTCCTGCTGAAGCTCCATCATAAGCCTCCAATTCAGTCTGATCGACGTATTGTGAAGGGAATATTAACTCCAAGGCGAGTATGCCAACGTTTTCAGGCCAGGTCCCCATTTTATTTTCACTTATTTAACTTGTTGACTTGGTATTTTTCTGACAGATAACTTAACACTTTCTCTTCCCACCAGAGACTGACGGTTGTGTACGGGATGATGTACGGAGTTACTTCCGAGTGCCACCACTCAACACATTCCACATTCGTAAGCAGACCCTACCCTTTTACCCACGGATTTTTAACCTCAATTTTATGTTGGATAACCCAAGAACCGGCTGACATTTCAGTTTAAGTTACGTGAAGTTAGGCGACATTTCTTTTCACGCCAACGGCGTAACACGAGGGATTTTAAAGTGGGGCAAATAATAAAATACTTAATGGGTATTTTTAGTTAATTTAGTTAAGTTATTAGTTAAGTTATAAAGAATGGAAGAACCTTTATTAAATTTACACATTAGCGACTTTTCCGAAAAACGGATTGGGGGTTGCCAAAATGCAAAAAATACGTGTGGAGGGATGTAAAAGTGCATAAGCAATCGGCGCAGGGTAAAAAAGTTGTATAATTATCACGTAATTAATAAAAGGGGCTGATAATTGAAGTGACTTACAGTGATTTTCTGTGAAAAGGAGCATGTAGCGAGTCAAAAACACGTATCTAATAGACGTAGAATTTGAAAGTGAAGTGAAAAAGCTTGAATTATGAAAAAAAACGTCATAAATTGCGGAAAATGCAATTTTTAAAATCAGGTAATTTGAGGTTATGCAGGTTCACAATCCAGCCTGCCCATAGATATATTATACCTCTATTGCTCAATGGGGCGGGGGGGGGCAATGGGGCGGGGTCGGTTGGGTTGGGTTGTTAAGTTTGGGTTGGTTTGGGTTGGTTTCGCTCACCTTTGCCCATTTTAGTGTACCTGCATAACCAAGATGACAGCTAATCTTCATAACCTCAAATTACCTGATTTTAAAAATTGCATTTTCTTCAATTCATGACGTTGTTTTTCATAATTCACGCTTTTTCACTTCCACTTTCAAATTCTACGTCTATTAGATACGTGTTTTTGGCTCGCTGCATGTTCTTTTTCACAGAAAATCACGGTAAGTCACTTCAATTATCAGCCCCTTTTTTATTAAATACGCGATAATTATACAACTTTTTTACCCTGCGCCGATTGTTTATGCACTTTTACATCCCTCCACACCTATTTTTGGCATTTTGGCAACTTTCCTGCCGTTTTTCGGAAAAGTCGCTAAAGTGAAAATTTACCGAACCTTTAAAGGGTAAACTAAAATTGTAAGGATTATTAAAACAATTTTTTTAAATTATACTTGGCACGTTGAGAGTAACATTTTAGCAGGCGACGGAAAACAGCTTAACCCCTGGCCAGGGAATATAGGAAACGCCTTTAAAGTTTAAACGCCCGTAGTATCAGGTGATCATGAAGTCGTAGAGGTAAGTCACATTAATGTATGCGATGTGTGCAGAAAAAAATAAAAGAAGATAAGTTTTAAGCGATTTTAAGAGATAATTAATTGAAAAAGTGATTTAAGGTGAGTCGATAATTAAAGAGTGCGCTTCCATGCATATATTTTAAAAAAATGGTAAGACACATTAGCATAGTTTAAAATTAAAAAATAGAGGAAAAAATTTGCATACATTTTAAAAATAGTAGGAGAAATTCGGAGTGGCATAAACTAAAAATAGTAGGAAAAATTGGCACAAATTAAAATAGTTAATTTATAAAAAATTTCCAATTTTAAATTATTTGCATGCCAAATAATTTTTTTGTTCAGTTATGCCAAAGAAGCATAACTTCTAACCGGTTTTTTCATAGAATTTTAATTAATATTTTTTAAACAAATAGGTAATCATTAAAAATTCAAATAAAGTAGCATAAGTTGACATGGTTGACACATGTATTCCGTTTGTCTTAAAAAATCCAAACTTTAAATCTTCTTTGTTAGGTACTTTGTTAATTATGCACTGACGCGTCATGACGTTCCAAAAATTAAAAGTTAAAATTTAAGGAAATCCGTTCTAAGCTTAGTAAAAAAAATTATTTGTGTGTTTTTTAAGATGATTTAGAAAACATCTAAAAAAGGTTGTTATGGAAACAAATTTTGTAGTATATTTAATATACAACGCATCTACAGCGCAGCCCTGCTAAGCCAAACACCCGTGTAATATTAAATTATATAGGACAGATCATTTTAATTGTTAAAAACAATTAAAATTATCTGTTGTTCTTTATTACTTAATATTGCAGTAGGGTTTATATAAATAAAATTCTAAAAATTAAAATAACATTCAATTAAAAAAAAATACTTAAAATCACCCATTTATACACTGGTAGACACTGGTAGGTATATGTGTTTAATATATTATAACATATTATGTTATAATAGCCCCGCCATTTTCAGGGCACTCTGTATTAATAAAAATAATAGAAATCTGAGATTTCAAATCTCCCATTTACTTGGACGCCTATGGAATTTAATGCGGTCAACTTCACACCATTCCCAATTGACATTTCTTCTGTCAAACTTTTTATGTGCTACATTTGCAAAGTCTATTTACAATTAATTCAATAAAATGTCTGAAACGGTGGAAAGTAACAATGCAGACACGAAAATAGACAAAATTACACCCAACGAAATCGTATCGAGCGTCGACGAGAGCGATAATTCATCCAAAAATAAATACGAATTGAAAGAAGACATGAAACTTAAATTGGTGGAGTACCCCGAAATATTGCAATACATTGAAATGCTGCAGAGGTATATAGAGAAACAAAGGAAGAAACTTAAAAAGTGGAAGACGAAAATAAAGGTGAGTTTTGTGGTAAATTGTAGAAGATAGGTAAAGTAGGGTTATGTTTTTTAGAAATCTATAAAACGTAAAGAAATAGCTATTCAAACGGATTATCAGGCTAATAATGAAAATGAAAGTATGGACAGTAAACCAAAGTCACTTGCTGAGGATATAAAGGATGCTGCTGAGCAAGCTATGCAGAATTCTGGCTTTGTTTACGAGGAAACTTCAGGGATGTATTACGATTATAATACTGGGTATTATTATAATGCTGTAAGTATTTTTTATGTTAAAATGAGTATGTTATATAATTCTGCTGTTTCAGGAATATGGGTTGTATTATGATGGAAATACTGGGACTTATTATACATATAATCAAGAAAGTCAATCATATGAATTTCACAGTCAAGTCGAGACTCCAAAAACACAGGAAAAAGATGAAAAAAGGGGAAGTTACAGTAGGAAGAAAAAAGTTAAGAGAAAAAAGGAAGTTGGACATAAAACAAAAGTAAATTACATAGTAGTAGTGGTACATTATATGGATAGCGTCAAAAACTTTTTTTCTGGGGTAGACAAAATAACTCATTTTTAATGCTGCTCAAAAAACTAATAATGATTTGGGAACCCTCTCAATCCTTTTGAGAAAAGTTCCAAATGATCATCAACCTTTTGAGCATTATTAAAAATGTGTTATTTTACAAATAACTTTACTAAGCCCAGAAAAAGTTTTTGGCGCTTGGTTCCTTTTAGATAATTAAAAAAAAACATAATATTTTGACTTTTAAACTAGTCTTTCTATATAGACTTATGGGTGTTATAATATGAAAATTATTATATGCTTAAAAAAAACGTTTATTTTAACCTTGTGCACGGGTTGGGTCTAATAGATCGGGCAGTTTTCGGCAGCCACCGTTTAGTTTACTTCTTCCTTAACTTTTCGTACTTGTTTAACATTAAATTAATTTGCTTTTTATAATTTTTTTGTGTTTTGATATTTAACAAGACAGACTCCTATGAGAGGGAGGTTGCTAGACTATATTTGGGAACACAGTTGGTTATGGAAAATATGAAAAGGCTAGGGATAATCATATACGACAAGCAAAAAGGCAGAGTGCTATTTACCTACCAGGAGTGGAAGATTTAAAACCTATACCTCCAGAAAACATAAGAGGTTCCTGCAAATATTGCAAAAATCGCCAAACCAAATATTATTGTAAACGTTGTCATAACTAGCTATGTTTAAATCTTATTGTCAAGATTGTAGTGAAAATAAATAGTAGTTTTCTGGATAAGGTGTATATGGTCATATTTTTTCTTATCCAATATTTTTTTTATTAAGTTGGTTTGAAAAACTATTTTCTCAAGGATTTCATTAATTTCATTTAAAAAAATAATTGTTTTTATTGTATTTTCACTATATTTAGATGAAGACCATCAAAATGTTACCATTTACTACTGGAATAATATTAATATTTTGAAATAATATTATTGTTTTTTTTTTCGATAAAAAGACAATGAAATACTTAAAATTTAAGAAAACAAAAGGGGGCGGAGAAAAAAAGTCAGAAATACAAATATTTTTTTAGTAGGTCCGATAGACCCAACCCGTCTATTGGTGTAATATTTTTCCACCCATGCACTGGAAGGTTAAATATCTCCAAATGAAATTTTTAAATTATTTATGTGCACGTCACGTCATCAATGCGGTATAATGACGTCAGCATTACCAACTAAAATTGGTAAAAAGTGTTATATCATTTATTTGCTTATTGTTAACAAGAACTGTAACAATGTCCCTTTTTTAAAACGTTTTTTACGAAAGTATGAAAATGTGTGCCACTTGCTAATAGCCTGAGGCGTAATTTATCTTTTTTTGTCATTTTGACATTTCGTCCGTGTTGCAGCTTATTATAATAGTATATTAAGTACAAGTTGCAGAAGGCCACATATTCTCGCACGAATTCGAAATTTGGCCTCGAGCGACGAAGGAGCGAGTGGACGAACGAATAAGTGCGAGAATAGCCTTCTGCAACGTGTGATTTATACTATTTTCTCGATTTTAACTTTTATTTAGGTTTTTTTAATTGTTTTGTGGTCGTTGTTAGTTAGGGGATTTTTCTCGCAAAATGTCAGTTGGCAACACAAAATGACAATATTTGTTATCCTGCACAAGTACAACCTGAACTGCACTTTTACACATTAAAATTTTGCATTAAAATGCATTGTTGGAGCAAACTTTATATTACAAAACAATAATAAAGGCTTCATTTTCAATAAAAGTAATGAATTTGAGGTTATTAATCAGTTTGACATTTTGGGGGTACCAATACTTAAAAACTAAATGTTACCAAAAATCGTTTAAGAATGAGCTTCATTCTTCAACGATTTTGCGTGCGAGAATATGACATTCTTACATAAAAATCGAGAAATAGTTTTATATTATCTATCTTTGTCATAATTATAATAAATATTTATTATATTCAGAGCTGGGAGTATCTTAAAGTATCTAAGATACTTTATCTTAGATACTTTTTATTTTGGACAGAAAGTATCTTTAACTAAGTTACTTTGGAAAAGTATCTTGTAAGTTGTATCTAAAAAAGTATCTAAGTTACTCGGTAAAGTAACTAAGATACATTCAAGTAACTTAGATACTTTAAAGTAACTAAGATACTTTTTAAAGTATCTTAGATACTTTTCAGTGTTTCCAGAATGATTCAAAGTAATTAACTAACCTTCAACTTGTTGAATTTTTATAATTTTATAGATTTTATTCATACTTAAAAGTAGCTTAGTTACTCAAAAGGTTTTTAGTTACTTAAAAGTATCTTAGTTACTCAAAAGTTTCTTGGATCCTTTCTTAGATACTTTCGGATAGTCTCTATCTATAAGATACTTTAAACTCAAAGTTATTTTGTTTAAGTATCTTAAAAAAGTAACTAGATACTTTTCAGAAGTAACTTTCCCAGCTTTATATTATAATAAAACTCCTTTTTAATGAAACCACTGCAGACTTTTCTTTCCAATGTCGTTTTTAATAATAATAATAATAACTTTATTTATATAATACCCAACATAAATACAAGTATTTGTATATAACAAAATAAATATAATTTATAAAACCATAACAAAATTAAATAAATATCACATTTTTTATAGCTTATTGAAATTTCTTTAAGAATACAAAATACAGTTTATCAGACTGGTGCTGTATTCTAACTAGACTTATGTGATGGAGCACAGTTCGAGAAATAGGGCATTTAGACTGCGTTAGGAACATGCGCAATAGTAAAATCGCGACCATATTTTGGTATTGCGCATGTCCCTGGAGTCCTTTCGAGGAGTTCAAATGCTTTGTTGGAACAACCCTAATATCAATACAAGTTGTATTATACAACTATAGTCGAGTAAAAACAAATTTATAGTTCTTACTCGACTATAGTTGTATAATACAACTTGTATTGATATTAGGGTTGTTCCTACAAAGCATTTGAACTCCTCGTTTTTACTATTGGGCATGTTCCTAACGCAGTCTAAATGCCCCATTTCTCAAACTGTGCTTCATCACATAAGTCCAGTTAAAAGCTAAAAAATGCTTGATTTAATTATTTTAATACCCATTATTTATTTTTTGCTAACTAAATCATACCGTCATATTAGATCCCACTTTAAGGGGCTTCCCAACAAAAAAGTTTAAGAAACCCTGCTTTATAGGATCAAACCACTTTGAGAATGTTTTTTTGAACGAAAAATGCTGCTTGGGTGACGACGAGGACGACTGGTCATTTAGTATTTTTGTGTTTTGTACCTACATTAAATGTAATAAACTCTCTAAACACATTTAGTCAAAATTAATGTAGAAGATAATACAAATTATGTTATAATTCCATCTTAATAAACAGATTGTGCCTGGGCACTTATGAATAGACCTTAACGCTGACGTCATATGCTGTTGATGACGTGCACCCATGCAGATTTGGCCGCGACTATATGTGACGGGCTCTGAGAAAACGAACCTTATGATTATGATTGAGCAGCATAGGCGTTTATGTAGTAACTAATTTTGAGAAAAACAAATCATTATTGGATTTTTTGAAAGATCATGTATACATGTAAAATTTTATTTTTAACCTAAGGTTCGTTTTCTCGGAGATCGTCACATAGATGTCGCCTCTAGTTCTATAATAAAAGAGTGGGTTATCTAGTCAACACAAATAACAGTACCAAACCACTATTTTTAATTTTTATAAATATTTTACTCTGTTCCAGGTAAACACTTCTTCTGATTTGGATGGTCTTACACATTATTTTGACAGTTTGAAAATAGATAACATGCGCCGACACGCGCTCGGTACGTATCAGATCAGTAATTCGATGTTATTTACAGGCGGGAAAGCGCCCAAAAATCGCGAAAAAATCCAAAAAGCTTCGAGACGACTCCGATGAAGATGTTTACGAAGAAGAAAAAGGCCAAAGTATGGACGTGGAGGAGGGGGAATGCACTTCGAGTCCTGAGACGAGCATTTCCGACGGTAGCGAAGCCGATAATACAGATTCCAGTGGTATCTACATTTATTATTTTTTGTTTAAAAATGCTATATTTTACTTCACGTTGTTTGGGCGTTAAAGTTTGATGTAATAAAAATTTTAGAATATAAAATTCTTTACAAGAAAGGTAAAATTTTGTTCAACTTTAAAGCGCAATATTTCTGAGACGGTTCATTGTACTATGCTCCACACTTCAAAGTCCCACCACGTGACCACGTACGGAACGCAGTCTTTTAATAATTTGTCATTTAAGGCTTTTCAGGTTATGTATCTGTCAAAGTATAGTCAATGCAAGAAATAATATTTATACTGTTACCATTTATGTTTAAGCGTTAAAAGTTTATAAATCTTTATAGTATCACAGTAACAATGGTTGGTTTAATGAAATTCTAAGTGTATAGTGCCAAATAAGTAAAATTTTTGTGCATTTGGTCTACATATATCTGGTTTTATCCATTAAATAGCTTTAACTAAACGGCATTTATTAAAAAAATTTAGCTTGTCTATTATGAAGTAAGAATATCTGTATCAAAGGTAGGTTAACATATTATAAGAAAAAATATTATCTAATTTTGAAATTTTAAGGTTAGAAAAATCTATTTTGATCAAAATAAATAAGTATTTTGGATTATTTGGAAGAGTGTGTTAATATGGTCATATAAATATAGATATACTAAATAATTGTTGAATATGGTTCAAATTAAATTAAAGCTTTTATACTTCTAACAACAAAACTTGTGCATACCTCTTGAGATCCCTACTTTAAGTTAGATTATAAGGAAACAAACAATTTTTAGAGATACATGCAATGTAAAAATATTTAATACTCCCATAACATGTGATTTTTGAAATTTTTAAAAGTTATAATGATTTTTCGATGAAGATAAAATTCAGTTGAAGCTTTATACGTAATTGTATTGACTAAACTTTATGTAGGTATACTTTAAGCTGGATAAGAAAGACTACTACAAGTAAAAATATTAGATAGAGTATAATGTGGTTTTATTTAAATTTTAGAATTTATAAGGTTATTTATACCTAATGATTGTTCGATGTAGATGAAATTTTGTCGAAGCTTTTATAGGTACTTGTATTGACACTATGGGTATATTAGCTGACAGTGTAAGGAACTTTAAGAAGGTTAGCTATTGAATTTCCAAAAACACTTGTAAAAACAATTTACAGTTACAATACCTACCTAATGGTTTTATATTTGAGATCTCTCATGGTGCTTATTTCCAAGAGCAAGTTATTTAATTACAGCTTACATTTAGGTAGTGGATGACTAATTTGTTTTACTTGGGCATAAATATTTATTTATTTAAAGTACCTACATATAAACATCTTTGATTAATTAAATAAACAAAAAATAGTATATTTTAAATAAAAATTTAAAGAATCTAAAATCGATAAAAGTTCAAAAACTCACATATAGAAAAAAAATAAGTTTAGAAATTTGTAAAATAATAAAAAACATTATTTAAAATTATTTAATAATTTGCAAATTTTAATAATTTTAAGGTGTTGTTTTTAGATTCCTTCTTTAAAATTAACCCCTTTTAATATTTAATTAATTTTAAAAATCTTAAAATAGTTAAGTTTTACAGTTGAAAATATTTATGCCGGAGTAAAACAAAATAGACATCATAATTGAACAACTGGCTCTTGGAAATAAGCAATATTAAACATTTCAAATATAAAACCATTAGATACTTAATTTTAAAAAACTGTAAATTCTTTTTAAAAATTCAATAGGTAACCTTCTTAAAGTTCCTTACACTGTCAGCTAATATACCCATAGTGTCAATACAAGTACCTATAAAAGCTTCGACAAAATTTCATCTACATCGAACAAGCATTAGGTATAAATAACCTTATAAATTCTAAAATTTAAATAAAACCACATTATACTATATCTAATATTTTTACTTGTAGTAGTCTTTCTTATCCAGCTTAAAGTATACCTACATAAAGTTTTGTCAATACAATTACGTATAGCTTCAACTGAATTTTATCTTCATCAAAAAATCATTATAACTTTTAAAAATTTCAAAAATCACATGTTATGGGAGTATTAAATATTTTTACATTGCATGTATCTCTAAAAATTGTTTGTTTCCTTATAATCTAACTTAAAGTAGGGATCGATCCCAAGAGGTATGCACATGTTTTGTTGTTAGGACTCCTAACTTAGGAGTATAAAAGCTTTAATTTAATTTGAACCATATTCAACAATTATTTAGTATATCTATATTTATATGACCATATTAACACACTCTTCCAAATAATCCAAAATACTTATTTATTTTGATCAAAATAGATTTTTCTAACCTTAAAATTTTAAAATTAGATGATATTTTTTGTTATAATATATTAACCTACCTTTGATACAGATATTCTTATTCCATAATAGAGAAGCTAGATTTTCTTAATAAATGCCGTTTAGTTAAAACTATTTTATGGATAAAACCAGATATTATATTATATATTAACATATTATGTAGACCAAATGCACAAAAATTTTACTTATTTGGCACTATACACTTTAGAATTTCATTAAATGCAGTATTTATACTCCTAAACTCTTAAACCAACCATTGTTACTGTGATACTATAAAGATTTATAAACTTTTAACGCTTAAACATGAACGGTAACAGTATAAATATTATTTCTTTCATTGACTATACTTTGACAGATACATAACCTGAAAAGCCTTAAATGACAAATTTTCAAAAGACTGCGTTCCGTACCTGGTCACGTGGTGGGACTTTGAAGTGTGGAGCATAGTACATTAAAGAGGATTTAACCATTTTTGTAAATCATTTAATAATGTACAGTTTTTACTATACTTACTTTGACATTCCATTATTAGATATTCAAAAAAACTGCTCCATATAACTTGATACTTTTTTAGACGTTTCAAAACCATATCCGCCATGTATGCGCATCATAACAGAAAGCACCGAAGTGCCAAAGTTAAAAATCGGTTCTCTGCACATAATAACGCTAGATGGCGGCACTATCGGACGGGAAGGACACCATTCCATAACAATACCCGACATAAACATCAGCAAACATCATTTGAAGTTTGCGTTCGAAAAAAATAGCGGGAAATATTTGGCCACTGATTTGGGGTCCAGAAATGGCACAATTTTAAACGGCAAAAGAATGTCATCATCGAAACAAGAAAGCGAACCGATGGAGGTTGCGCATGGCAGTAAAATTCAGATTGGCAGCACTGTTTTGCTGTGTCACGTGCACGACGGCACGCAGACTTGCGGACATTGTGAACCCGGCCTTATACAGCAACAAGATGGTAAGGCAACTCTGAAAACAGCCTATACACTGTATAGGTATTTTGGGCAAATTTTTGTTTGTTGGACCAGTGGCTTGCAAAACTTAAAGATTAGGAATATTTTCAACTAGACTAAAATTGATATGTAACATATTTTGTATTGTATTTATTTCAGTAAGATATATTAACTTTATCTTCTAGTAAAAGCACGTGCTTTTTAGTATTTGCTGTAGTAAGTACTATCAAATAAAGCAAATTTTTCGGTCAAAAGTATTTGGGTTGCTTTACTTCTGCTATACTTCAACCAGGCACGGCGGTCCTCAAGGGTGAACTATTTACTAGATATAATTGTACTCCACTTAAGCTCTCTAAAACCATTTTTAGGTAAATCGCAGCTGATCGAAAAGTTGATTTTTATTTAGTTTTTAGAGAAAATCATGGAATTTTATTAGTTTTTTTTTGTTACATTTTTTGTTATATCAAAAATATGTGTAATTTTGGTTACACTCGAATAAAAATCTCATCCTTTGATCTTTTCAATAACATTAGGTAACTACTTTTACAAAACATGAAACATTAATAACTAAACCTACAAATGACAAGAATAAAAATCTACTACTGCTTTTCTCAAACTCAAACCAACATTTGAAGTGCCATTTCTTGATTCATTAATATCAGAAAAACAGTAGAGACAACAGACAACAGAATTGTGCTTACTGCAATTGTAGGAAATTCCTTTACCAACTTTTTGCAAGCATTCACGACATGTTCTAAAATTTGCTTTTTTGTTCTTCCATTTATGATTTTTGCGTGTTGGTTTGTGACCTTTAAAACTGGCAATGGTACATAGTCGACAGGTAGATGGTGACATAGTGAGTCTCGTTCTTGGATGCAGCACAATTTTGTCAAAACCCGGTTCTTTTTTGGGAAGAGGTCTTTTTAAGATATTTTGTCTCCTATCGTATAAAGACAAACGACAGTTGCCACATACTGCATTGGGATATCTACTGTCATTTTTGTCAAATTTAAAGCAGTTTAGATTTATTAAATTGTATAGGCTATTATTTAATATACATTTTGATGGATTGCATTTACCAAAAACTAACTTCCTGCCGCAGACAACACAAACTTTCGATCGGTTTTCTTCATGATTATCTTAAAGTGGCGGCTGGTGGATTTTGGGCACACTCATATCTCAGTTTTTAGACATTATATACAATTTCTGAAGTATGGGAAAAATATTTAGTTTTTTAGTGTGCCAACCAGCCTCATGCCCCCCAAATTAAGATAATTCAAATTAAAGTGGTGCAATTTATAATCGATGTGGCTCCCGTCCCGAGGCGGGACTTAAGTTCAGTCCCGATTGACGTCACACACTGTAAATCGGTTTTTATTCCCCGAGATTTTATAATTTGTGTCAAGCTCGATGGCTTAGATGGTAGGGCGGTCGCTTGGCATGCGAGAGGTACCGGGTTCGATCCTACTAGAAGTTGTCAAACTTTTTTTATTTTTTTTATTTTATAAATTTGTTGTTTCTTTGTTAAAAAGTGTTTTATTTTTATCGTAACATAAATTTGCCCATTTTAGTTGGGTTTTTTGCTCAATGGGGCGGGGGGGGGCCCAATGGGGCGGGGTCGGTTGGGTTGTGTTGTTGAGTTTGGGTTGGTTTGGTTTTATGACGTAACTAAAGTGCCCTTAACATGTATACAGGTACAATTTATTATTATTATTTTATTATAACATAACAAATCTTAAAATTATGACGTCAATCGGGACTGAACTTAAGTCCCGCCTCGGGACGGGAGCCACAGCGATTTATAATTCACTGCAGTTTATCAACAAATTTCAAAATTTATTTAAAAAGTCCAAGATTTACAGATTTTACAAGATTTTTTTTAAATTTAGAAATAGAATTAATAAACATTTTAAAATCTGTAATACTCGAACTTTTTAAATAAATTTTGAAATTTGTTGATAAACTTTAGTGAATTATAAATTGCATATGGGTACCATGTCTAATAACTGAGATATTGGTGTATCCAAAATCCACCAGCCGTCACAAAGACTTTTTGCATTATTACTTTGAACTTAAAAAACACTACTTTAAATAACACAGCAAGCACAAATATCTAAATAAAACTTATTTTTCTTACTACCACGACTCAAAATACGTTGTTTCGTCCCCGATTCCACGGCAGAAAGTTTACGTTTTATGCATTGGTCAAGCTATACGCGCACACTCTAATAGCGGGAGTAAAAATTTTTTAGTCGTGTGCTTAACATTCAAATTTCGTACTGCCAACATGAGAAACACAAAAATATGACAGTTTTAAACCATAATTTTGCAATTATAACAACAAATAAACAATTTATGTTTTTCCTTTTTTACTTTTTATGTTGTTTTAAGTGTTTAATGGTACTTTTATTTGTTATAAAGTAGTAATTTGTTAATTAAAATACAACCTTTTATTTTTACTGTATTGGCACCGCTGAATTCACGGCCTACTGTTATTTATTTATCAAGCTCTTCAAATGGAGATAGGTACATAAATGCACATTTAATTTTTTCCCGTATTTTCGGCCGGGTTGTATTTTCGGCCGAGGTAGTAAGAAAAATAGTATACACTACACGGGCAGAAAGTGTGAGAGCCCTGAACTGCGCGCAATGATGCCCTCGGCTTCGCAGGAATCTCACACTTTCTGCCCTTGTAGTGTAATATACTATTCTCTGTTCAATAACAATTGACGTGTTGTCATAAAATATTTTGTTTTATTAGATTTCATGGCACCCTTTGGTAATTGAAAAATTATATTGTATTTCACAGTAGTCTTAGCCTACCTACTTTTTTATTAAATTTTTTGCAGTACGGATGACAATTTGATACTAAACTATGATTTCAATTAATAAATAATACTAAATGTTATTGAGAAAATTAAAGAATGTGATTTTCAATAAGATAATGATTAAAATTCCACAAACTTTTGATATAAAAAAATGTAACCAAAAAAAACTATTTAAATTCCATGATTTTCTTTAAAAACTAAAAAAATCAACTTTTCGATCAGCTGCGATTTACCCAAAAATGGTTTTAGAGAGCCTAAGTGGAGTAAAATTAGATGTAGTAAATATTTTTTGGCTACATTTTTGGTCAACCTATTCACCCTTGAAGACCGCCGTGCAGGAGTATCTGCTAAGGCACTTGCTTTGGTGGGAAGTACTTACTAACCTCTATTTATTCTTGTATAGCAGAGCTATTCCCAATTTTAACTTTTTCGAAAAAGTAAGAATGGGTGAAAGTGAAAGGCATAGTAATATAAGTGATCATATATACGTAATATACTTTTCGCTTTCTCACATTCATAAAACAGGCTATTATTGACTATTGACTATTATTGACCACAACAACAGCAACTTCGATAAAACTACAGCATTTACTACACTTGACGGCGTTTTACTTCAGTAGAAGCAGTTGGTGTAGCAAGCACAATACTTCGTTTATTCATACACCCCAATGACATTTAAACACCTTCTTTTATGAAAAAAAAAACACCAAATCTACGCAATTAGTCATATGCTACGATTTGTAGCACTGCAAAAAACGGGACAGAAAGGACATACAATGTTGGGGAAGGCTGTAATTTTAATATAAATTATTTAAGAAGGTTGGGGCAGTACATTGCGGGAAAAGGGGTAAGGGCTTTTATACTTAATGCATAAATAGAGATAGGTACCAACTTGCTGTTGCTGTGGTTACAAAATTTACTTTGTCATTTTATTACATTTGATTTAATTTGATTTTATAATTATTTTTTATTTTAATACAAAAAGGATAATATATTATACATACAGGGTGTCGCAGAACTCGCGCCATAGAGAAAAAGGGGGCGTGCTGATAGCAATAGGTAATAGTGTAATCAAATGAGAGCAAAAAAAACGCCAGCCAATACCGAGATCTCGTCTAGGTTAAACGTAGGAGCTTTAAAAATTGATAGGAGAGGATAGGACATTGTTGTCCGACTGTGTTTACTAACTGTTTAAAAAGGAATGTCATACTTCAAGACGCCAATGTTTTAAAGTAAAAATGAAACAACTATAGTTCTGTACCCCAGACAAAAATCTCTAGCAACCACTACAGGATTATCTTCCAGCTGCAGGTGCTGCACTAGCGTAAAATAAAAGTCCTTTATAATCCGCTGAACTGTGAACGGGAAATTCGCGGGCAACTTCCCTTATGCTCTTTCTACTATTTCCATCAAATGCATTGAAAATAGCTTCTTTATTTTCCACTGTTCTAATACGTTAAGGAGAACCTTCAATTTCGTTACAACGCAGAACAACTTTACAGTCCATGGGACGATAGGGAAAGCGCTGGGAAAAAACTTGTGCTGCCTCCCTAGCATTGCGCCCATACTCATTATAAATAATAATCATTTCTGCATAATCAGAGAAGGAAAACATAACTTTAAATGATAAATAATGACAGGAACAAAAATTGACAGCAGTGTGACAATGAAGTGGACTCCAGTCGACCAAATATTTTACATATTATAATATCAACAATGCATCCTAAGTATCCTAGCAATTTAAAGAATTCCCTATGGCCATGTATTGAAATTGGCTAACGTTTTTAATACTTAACTCGCTTACCCTTTGCGTTAGATAATTTTAATTTTCAAATATGTGTTTCGTGTTACTTTCGGCACGTTCCCTTTTTCTCTGTAGTGCGAGTTCTGGGACACCCTATATTGTAACACAAGAACGTGAATTAAAAAACGTAAACAATAGGATTTAAATGCGACAGCATTGCGAGTTGTTGATAGTCGCTTTTCGCTTTTGACAGTGACAGTGACATTTCTATATGTAGTGTTATTTAAAATCCTAAAATGAGTTGTGAAAACGAATTATTCTGTGAAACGAATGAAATCCACTCAAATCGACCAGGCAAAAAGGAGTGGGTCGTTATTTTTCAACGAAGTATTTTTTCTTCTTGCTTAAATTTGTTTTGTCCACCCGTAGAAATTCTTTTAAAAATGGACTGAAACATCGATTTTTCCCTTTTTCCGAGTGACATTTTTTTCTTAAAAATGCAATAACTTGGCCAAAACTGATTCGATCGTTACAATTTTTTTTAAATTGGTTGTAAATGTTTACTTCACACAGAAAAAAATAAGTAAATTTACTAAATTTCTTTTAAATTGTTTTTTCTAAGAAGACGAAACAAAAATTGAGGTCAAAATTTGGACCATTGCCACATTTTTTTTTACTTCATATTTTTTGTTTGAAGTTGATAATATGAACAACTTTCACCAAAAGTCCCGAGTTGGCTAAATTCGTCGTTTCGGAATTATTATTGTTTTAATGAAAATGCCTGGTCGATTTGAGATGGAAAGACCCTATCGGAACCAAAAATCGACAAAAATAAAGCAACAGAAAACATGCAGCATGTTGAATGCAGCAAACCTCTAAAGAAAAGAGCAGAAAACAAGGATAAGAAAACCATTAAAGGTAGAAATATTGTCGAATTATTAAAAAAATAATAATAAATAACAATAAAATTGTCTTGTTTACTTTAAAAACTAAATTATGGTCACCAAATAAATCAAACCAGGTATCCCTAGATAATAACTTGTTTGTATTCCAGTATTGCCGAAAATCCGAAAATGACAGATTGATAATTTTGGTTGGACACAGTTTACATTATCGTTTATTATTACAAAACTGTGCGGTGAACGTTAACAAAAATTTAAATTGCACATCTACAAGCAAAAATTCATTAATTTTTCAATGTCGCGTTAGAAGATATGCATTAATTAAAGACATGGACTGTATAGGATATGTATTTAATTAAAGCATATTTTATACCATGACAATAAAAATCGATGTTTTTTTCTCGTATGCACTTATACCTGTAAAATTGGTATATACAACACAGTTAAGCAATAATAAACGATAATATTCCGCAGCTTTAATAATTTTTTACTCGGAAACCAGACGGTCAATCTTTCTAAAACTTTCTGAATGTATTTTAAGTAGACTCTACCACAACCTAGAATTTTTTCAACATTTTCTCAGAGACTAATATAGTGCCTGAACCTACTTAAGATTTTACTTTTGCCAATAAATTTCAATGGGAAGTTATGCCATAAAAATAATTAAGAAATTATATTATAACCTTTTCAGTGGGAATTCCCACTGGCTTAAGCCATTTTTTTAAATTAAAAATAAAATTCCTATACATTATTATTTTAATATTTAAAGCCATTTTTAAAAATTTAAAAAATGCCTTATAATTATTTTAATATTTTTTAATTCAGAAGTCCCACCAAGAATCTACAAGCTGAGCAAAAAATCTGACATGCAGAGCGATCTAAAAAATCTTAAAAAAAGGTTTGGTGTTATCCATAGTGATGGAGACCTAAAATTGGCTTCTGGTTATACAGATAGAGCGCAAAAAAGAAGGGAGGAAGTGGGAAGTCAAAATCCACATGAGAAAACACAAACTGCTTCTGTCAATGAGTAAGCAAAACAATAAAAGTTTCCTTGTAATTTTTTGTATTACATTTTATTTTATTTTAGGTCGATATCATCAGAAAACAAAGGATTTAAGTTATTGTCTAAAATGGGATGGAAAGAAGGCGAATCCTTGGGAAAGGATAATGAGGGTATTAAGGAACCAGTAAGTCTTAATTTTTCGATTTTCTAAATTAAAAATACATCTGACAATCATGTCATTACTTTAAAGTACCTATTTGTTTGGCTTCTAAACATATTATTAGCTATTTGTGTATTAAGAGCGCAAAGTGATACATTGCCGCTCTGAGCGAATGTTTGGTAAAAATTAATGATTATCGATAACCTCAAATTTGACGTTTGTGTCAAAAGTCGCAAATACACTAAACGTTTCTTTATTATGGTTTCCATGGTAACTGCGCGCGTTCATTGGAAAAGTGCAACTTACAAATTTGGGACTGACAAATTTATGGATAAAAAACTAAAATACGAATTTTTAAACGAAAGTTGGTATCTGGGGTATTCTTTTGATTCTAAACAACTTATCTTAATAACTTTTTGCCATAACTCTAACTCAAAGCAAAATATTGACAATGTGACCCATGTTTTTGATCGTAGTAGGCCAGGCTGATAACGTATTTTGCGCTTAAGGACATGAATAGATGCCTCTTAGTGAGCTGCACAACTGATAAAAAATTCAAATCAATTTATACAAAAATAAAGAAAATACAGGGGTGCTTCCATGTAAAGTGAAACACACTGTATATTTGTTCATTTTGTTTCAATAAATTTACCATTTTTTGTATTTTGAGTCCACTCCACGTTACAAGGCAATTTTTGTAGCGTCCCTATCATAATCAAAAATGGTGAGTAAAAACTGCCGTAATTTACAATCCACACTTGTTTGTTATACCAAAGATTAAATATACTCTTTAAGAGTATATTTAATCTTTGGTTATACCTCGTTTCGCGCATACTAAAAATTACGTTTTAAGTTAGGCAACCCACTGTACAGACTTTAACGGCGGTCATTTTTATGTTTACAATTATTGTGCTTCGAGTTTGTGCTGTTTATACAAATTAATAATCGTTTTAAACGTTGGGTTTTTTTACAGAGGCACTTGTACGCCTTTAAATAGGCCTTAAGTGCTAAGGACAACCATTTTACTTCTTTAATAAAAAATAAACCTTATTTTATCAGGGCTGTCATCAAACCGTCAAATGTCAATTTTAAGGTTAATTTACTATAACCCACAAATTTACCATACTTACTAACCCAAAGCACAAGAATTGTAAGCAACAAAAAAAGGCCTCTATTAAAGTCTTTTAATAACAATCGAGATAACAATTTTTTATTATTACGGACGCTGAAAAAATTGCCGAGTAACGTGGAATGGCTGGTGGGTATTTTACTCGAGAAATATTCTCCCTAAATACCCCTTGTGCTTCAAAATTAACCAGATAATTTCCATTAAAATTATTGGTAATACAAGTGCTTAATTATTACCAATAATTTTAATGAAAATAGCAAACTTTAATCTAAGAATGTTTTTTAAACCTTCCAGTGAGAATATTCTTAGGATCATGCTATATTTCTTTTAAAGAACATGCTTAAAAGAATTATAGCATAATCCTAAGAATATTCTTACTGGCCTATAGGCAAGTTCTTAAAAGGTGCAAAGTTTTAGTGATAAAAATTAGTCTACTCTAAACATATGCTTAGAATGTTAAGAAAGTAATTGCTAGAAAGTTCATTTAGGAATATTCCCGTTAAGCATACCTATTTAGTTCAGTTACCTATACAGGGTGTCCGCAAAAAGGAGGTCAATCCGTTAACCATATATTCCTTGAGTTAAAACAATAAGACTTTTTGAAATTTAAAACTGATTTTTTTTAATAATTCGAGTAATTGATTAGATATTAAGTTCAAATTCGGTACACTTCTTAAACATAAATAGTTACATCTTTTGAGAACAAAGCAAAAAACATTTGTCAAATAAACAAAATAGGGGGGTCCAGTACTCACTGACTTCCCCTATTTTTTAGTACGTGCGCCAATGACTTCAAAACTTTATTTTTTTAAGTAATCATTTATTGGTGATTGATGTTTTTTGTCTCTTATAAAATTTTGATAAAAGGATTCGATTTGGAGATAATTTGTAAAGTATTGGTCCTTGATTGATGCCTACGCGGCTTAAGGCAATCTCATAATTTTTAAATACTCTAAATCAAGTGAGCCGCTGAGGCATTACCATTGATACAATTAAGTAAAATTTTGCAATAAGTAACAATACCAAAAACTAACCAAAAATAACCCAAATTTAGTGACGCACAGATAAAAATAGTACTAAACAAGAAAAATGAAATTAATTTTATTGCCCTAGGAAGACCTTACAATAATTACTAATTTTCTTTACATAACAGTAAAATGCCACTAATATCACTAGTTTATAAGTCAATAATTCACTTTTGAAGCATTATAACAAGATAAAAATTATTTAAAACATATTATTTCCTTAAAATATGTAACAAGTTATAACTTTGGTAACTATAGTAACCAAAACATAAAATATATTTTTTAATACAGCCTCTTTATTAAAGAAAATCTTAGCCTACGAAAAATATTTGGCTTCAACCTGAACTCCTCTCCTACTTGAAGGATTCTTTCTCTTAAATGATTTTTGCTTAAAATCGGAACCATATACACAAAATCTATCATACATCTCCATACCGAATGGTTCAAGATTAGGAAAGATTTGATGTAAATAGTTTCTAACATTTCTAGCAAAATGCGGAGGAGCACCGTCTAGTTGAAACCAAATATTTTGTCTTACCAGTAGAGGCAAATCATCAAGTAAATCGGGCTGTGTATTTTGAAGAAATATCAAAAATGAATGACCAGTCAAATTTCCTGGTAAAATTACAGGACGTAAAAGAACGACACCTGCCCACACATTGACTTTAAAATTTAATTGATGATGCGTCTCTACTGGCTCAAAATTGTGTGCCACTTAAAAATTGATGGTTTCAATCGGTTTAGGGGTAAAAACAACTTTCCTAAAATAGTTTTGCAAAAAATCGATTTTTACAATACTTTTTGTGGATGTTTTTTTCAAAAATTGAACGGTTCATCAAAACTTAACATTTTTTGTATCAAAATTTTTGTTGAAAAATATACTTTACGATACAAAATTTGTTGTTAGGGGCAAACCTTTTAAAAAAAATGAAGCTATTTTTATTAAACAATTGAAAATTAATAAAACTTCTCCGCCTGCTAGGATTTTAATTTTTTCACATTTTATCTTATTTTACAAGAATGTTGGTAAAAAAAGTTATTATTTTGTAATAGGTCAAAAGTTATAAATGTTTTTGTGACCGCGCTCCGACCTCTAGCGCTGGACAAGCACGTTCGGACGCGCGCTTGTTATAATGCTTCAAATTTATTTAAAAAGTGATAGTAAATTATTGACTTGAACTAGCGATAATAGTGGCGTTTTACTGTTATGTAAAGAAAATTAGTAATTATTGTAAGTTCTTCCTAGGGCAATAAAATTAATTTCATTTTTCTGGTTTAGTATTAATTTTATCTGTGCGTCACTGAGATTGGGTTATTTTTGGCTAGTTTTTGGTATTATTACCTATTGCAAAATTGTACTTAATTGTATCAATGGTAATGCCACAGCGGCTCACTTGATTTAGAGTATTTGAAAATTATGAGATTGCCTTAAGCCGCGTAGGCATCAATCAAGGACCAATACTTTACAAATTATCTCTAAAACATAATTTAATAATTTTATAAGAGACAAAAAATAATCACCAATAAATGATAACTAGAAAAAATAAAGTTTGAAAGTCATTGGCGCACGTACTAAAAAATAGGGGGAGTCAGTGAGTACTGGACCCCCCTATTTTGATTATTTTACAATTGTTTTTTGTTTTGTTAATCTCAAAAGATGTAACTATTTATGTTAAAGAAGTGTACCGAATTTGAACTTAATATCTTATCAATTACTCGAATTATTAAAAAAATCAGTTTTAAATTTCAAACATTGTCGCCCTGTATATCGAACATGAAGCTCTAAATTGAAAAATGGTATTATAAAAGTCTTATTGTTTTAACTCAAGGAATACATGGTTAACGGATTGACCTCCTTTTTCCGGACACCCTGTATAATAGTAAAATATACCATAAACTACGTATAAAGGTATACTGATACCCATACTTAATTACCTAATTAGTAATTAGTTTTAAGTACTAAGTAAAAAACACAATCCAAAATATTTTTTTATAGTTAAGTATTTGTTAAATTAAAACAATATTTGATAACAAAAATACTTTTACTATAGGTACCCTGCTTAAAATACCCCATAGAGACCTATACAAAATAATCTATCGGGCGCTACCGGATTCTATATGTGCATTTGTCCATGGGTTTTTCCGGATACAGCCCGATAGAAAATGTATAGGAAATTACCTATAGGCACACCATAACTTTTACATTTTCCCTATTGAGACCGATAGAAAATAACTCAATGAAGGATATATAGGGATATCCCTATAGAGCAACCATAAAACATTTGACAAAATTTTATTAAAACCTATAGGGTCCTATAGGGAAAAAACTAATTTCTACATTTATGTGTATTTTCCCCATTGAAACCGATAGCAAATAAATCAATGGTGGATATCCCTATAGAACAACCATAAATCTCAACTACGGGTCCTATACAAACCGATACACCCTATAGAAACACCATACATCCCGATACAAATATCTATCGGTTTGAACAGGGTCTCTATGGGGTATTTTAAGCAGGGTATTTTATTTTATGTTAAAAAAAATATTTATTAATTTGTAGGTACCTATACCGATTTTTTATTTCTGAATTAACATTTTTATGTATAATAATAATAAGTTAGGATTATTATACATAAAAATGTTAATTCAGGATTCCTAAATATCTTCAACTTCAATCTAATCTGACTTATCCCACAAAATTTTTCAATTTTACTTTTTATGAAATAATGTCATACAACTTATGGTTTAGAGGTCAAATTGTTTATTTAATATTTTTAAATAATATAATATGTCGCAAAAATTTTTAAGGGGACGACAAAAACATTTCACTTTCATATTATGACAGTGAGGCGTATTTGTTGTCTCCTGAAGAATTTTACAAATGTAGAATACCTACAACATATTAGAACGTGGGTATCTGACATATTTGGGAATATTCTCAAAAGCTTCCTAGAAGCTCCAAAAGATACCTTCTAAGAACATTCCAAAAACGTATTCTTAAAATGTTCTTGGGATGCTTTTTAAGAAGGTTTTAAGAAGCTTTTAAGAATCTAATTGCATCATTAAAAGGGTATCTATTGAATGTTTTTAAAGTCCCTAAGAACATTCTTAGCAATAAGGGAAGCTTCTAAGAATATTCCATTATTCCAGGTCATATCTTCTTAGAAGATTCTTAAAATCAAATTTTGCTATCAGGGTTACCCCCAAATAATTTATACGAATTTATATTTATATTTAAACTAATAGTGTTGCCACGTTTGTTTTTCCCAATAAGCAAAAATATAAAAATTCCAAAAAAACATTAAAAATTAAAAAAAAACATTTTTATTACTTCAGGTTCAGGTAATTTCCAATCAAGGCACTGCAGGTATAGGCAGCGAAGAACTAAAAAACCCCACCATACCCCCTACAGCCCCCCCAACAAGAAACAAAAACATTTGGAAAAAAACGCAAGAAAGATTCCAAAAACTCCCCCAAAAAAGTGATGCCTTTAACGAAGACGACGAAGACACAGACTGAGAATTAAATAATGATTATATAATGATGTTGAATTTTAATTTTTAATACTTTTTAATTCGTCCGACTATTTGAATTGTTAAAGCAGTTTATTTTTTAGAAGGTTCAATGTATAGTTATTTATAATTGATTATAATTGAGTATTTTTACCAAAAAATGTGTTTCATTTCGATAAAACCTCAAACATTTCAACGATAAACGAAAATGCGTAAAGTGCAATGTTTTAAGCTGTAAAAATATAAATAAAACATGCAATACTTACCTTGGGACCAGTTGTTAAAAAAACACTTAATTTTCAATAAAAATACACAATAAAACCACAATTTTACTTGTCAAGAAAATCCACTTGTTTGAACTGTCAACTTGTAAAAAGAACATGGCGGCAAGCACAATCCACACAACACTGCACAGAGTTTAACTGCGGCCATTTTTGTTGTTTACGATTGTTGTGCTTTGAGTTTGTGCTCTGTTTATACATATTAATAATCGTGTTAAAAGTTGTTTCTTTCAGATGCACTTGTAAGCCTCAAAGGAGGCCTTAAAGTGCTAAGAAAAACCCGTTTACTCTTCTTTTGTAAAAAATAAACCTTATTCTATTAGGGCTGTCATCAAACTGTCAAATTTCAATTTTAAGGTTAATTTACCATAACCCGAAAATTTAAATTTGATAGTTTGATGACAGCCCTAAAAAATAAGGTTTATTTTTTACAATAGAGGAGTAAAATGGTTGTTCTTGGCACTTTAAGGCTTACAAGTGCCTCTGTGAGAAACACAACGTTTAAAACGATTATTAATCTGTATAAACAGAGCACAAACTCAAGGGCCTTGAGTCAAGGCACAAGAATTCTAAACAACAAAAATGGCCGCCGTTAAACTCCGTGCAGTGTTGCAGTGATTTTTAGTATTAGTACGAGATAGGACAGACCTTGTGTGGATTGTGGCGGCAAGTACAAAATTTATAAACAAACGTCTTTCGATATTTTTAAAAATCTAGTAGCCCAATAAAAAGATTAAATTCATTAAAATTAAAATATATTTTATTACAATAATTGTTATAAACACCATTTTTGCTAATTTTGGATCAAATTTGATGAAGAAAATAGGTACAGTTCATTTTTTTTTATCTGGAGTCGTGTTTTTTGTTAGGTTGGTGGCTTATGCCAGTATTTTTAGTATTTAAAAATGGTACCTACTTCTACTAAAGAATTTAATTAAATACTTTGACAATAATTATTAATTAAATATTAATAAATATTATAATATTATAATATTTATTATTGACTATTTCCCTCGTCTTAATTTCCACCAATCACAAACGCGCAATTTTGAATTATAAATGGTTTCTAGGTGAAAAAACTGTGTGACAGCACCTGTCAGCAGTTTATTCAAGTTTACCCGCGGCAAAACTTGACAGCTGTTGTCACCAAAAATTGCAATTTATATTTTAATTGTTAACTGTTACCTACTCATAAAATAGTCTTGTCAAATACCATTCGGGCATCTAATTTTTCCTGTGAAAAAAATCGAAAAAACACAATGCTAAGTAATATTTTTTAACAAAATGCATTCGTGCAGGTGCAAAAATCCTCCTCTTCGACTCGGATTTTTGTTGCCACCAGCACTCATGCTTTTTGTTAAAATATTACTTAGCAACGTGTTTTTTTCGATTCTTTTCGGAAAAATTAAATGCCCTTATGATATTACTTACGATAATTTACTTTTCAATTATAAATAAAAATATAATTATGCCAAAAATAATAGCAACGAATTCGAATGTAAAAGCCCTTTTGAGGGCAAAACTTCATTTTGAAGTACATCGCCTTATGGACATTTTTGGAGTAAAAAAGTAACGAATTTGGTTGTATAAATATTACATCACAAATTATTTTCCATTATTCACCATTTCTTTTATATAAATTCTTTTCAAAGCGAAGATTATTATCCGCTAGGAATACTTTCTCTTCTGGGCCGTAAAGCAACCTATATTTAACTACTTTTTTATATGATTTTACTTATCCAAGCACCACCAAAGCCAAATTAATTGCATTTTTAGCTACGAATTTCGACAACTCAACTTGACAACTGCACAATGTAACCTACAATAATTTATACATAACCACAATTAGATTTATAACTTATAATTTATAATTTGTTTTAATCAATGCGACCAACTTGACAACTGTATTTACCAACCAAAACCCTAAATTTGCAACGTTGCCGCAGTCCAGACAATACCATGTTGCCAAATGTACAACTTATTTGACGACTCCTAATGGCCTCTATTCCTCAATGGGGCGGGGGGGCCAATGGGCGGGGTCGGTTGGGTTGGGTTGTTGAGTTTGGGTTGGTTTGGGTTGGTTTCGCTCACTTTTGCCCATTTAAGTTGATTGACAGTGAGCGAAACCAACCCAAACCAACCCAAACTCAACAACCCAACCTAACCGACCCCACCCCATTGGGCCCCCCGCCCCATTGAGGAATAGAGGCCAATAGGAGTCGTCAAATAAGTTGTATAATAATCGTTCCTAAAAAAATTAACTTTACTGTGATTATCAGCTGAGACTGGCATGACCGGAAGTGGTTCCTGTCAAAACAATTAAAACCGGTTCAGTTTTAAATTTCGTCTGTCAAAACAACTTTAAAACTCTTGTTTTTCTTGCTAAAATCTTTGGTAAGTGACTTTTTCGTATTTCAGTCGCTAGTCTAGTTATTTTTGCGTCTCTAGAGTGCATTTTTTATGCCCCAACGTCTTAAAAGACAGGATTAATCTTAAAGTGGCCCGTAAATGAGTATAAACGACTTCGACCATTCTTTATTGTTTATGTGGAGTAATTTTTCTTCCTTGCACACTTTACATTGCAAGTGCAACTACAAGGAAGATTAATGACATTCAGGTGCTGAAATTCGGTTTTTACGCCCGACAGATTAATTGAAACTGAAATTGAATAGGTACCTACCTATATTCCTAGAAGAATAATGTTTTAACCGTGGACACTTGTTTTTAACTTAAAACTGAAATGACAGTTGTGCATTTGAATGTCGATGTTTCTATGGTAATGTACATAAATAGGTAAAGCATAGAAAAAGGATAGGGTGTCTAGATTAAGATTCGACAAGTATGTAGCTAACAAAGAACTTTGGTAGGTGCCTACCTACTTGGGTAATTTAGATTTTCGGACTTAATAAAGCAACATAAACCCAATTAATTTATACGACATTTAAATAGGTATGGCTTGATGATATTAGTAATTAAAACCTCCTTATACTCGATTATATACTTTTTATACTCGATTATACTCCCATAAAGTTATGTTTAAAAACTATATTGTGGGTTTTAGCGATTTTTAAGCGAATTTATTATCCATTAGACTTATTTTTGTGTAAAACCTAATATTACTAATAGTTGTTGGAGAAAAAGGCATTATTTATGACGGTGCAGATTTTTAGTGTTGCCTAATGCACCTTTTATATTTTATATACGTGGTATTATATGCAGTTTCGAGGCGATATAATGAATCGACTGGAGTGAAAATGCGAAATTGCTAGACGTGGTCTGACACTGATGTATTGAACTTGTGACGTTGGGCTAGGTTTGCTAGGATTTTTAGTTTGCAACGGTTGTTTACTTAACGTGGGGTTTTTCTATTTGCTTTTTTATATGGATTGCTGAATGGATTAGTGAATTGTTCCATCAATTAATAATCAAAGATTTTTTGTTATAAAATAGCTTTTTATAAAGTTTGGTTCTTTTTTAATTTTGTTTTAGGTATTTAGGCATTTCTTTAAGTTAAATTTTAAGTAATTTTTCTAGTAATTTTAATAGGTATTTTGTTTAGTTTGTAACTTTTCTTTGGTTTTTTTGTAAATAAAAAAATTTAGAATTTTATTTTTATTATTTTGTATTATTGTTTTAAAAGTTTTTATTTTTATAAAATGATGGGACAACTTTTAAAGGACCGTTTAAAAATTAAAATTTGTACATAATAACAACACAAACTGTCAACCATCTGTATCACGTATTTAAATCAAGGTTGGCAGTGTTGCCAGTCGTACCAGTATACCAGTATCATTATGTACCATTATTTTTTAAGCCCGTTTCATATAGACAGTGTTACCAACCTCTTTGAACATTTTATCGGTAAATTATTTGGAAATTATCGGGAGATGATGATAACATTTCGGTAGATTTAAATATATGTGTAATTTTTAGTAAAAAAACACAGGGTATGGAAAAATATTTATCAAAAATAAAAATAAAACAAAAAAAAACAATAACATAATAATGTTAACATAAGTTTATAAAGAGAAATGTAATGTGTAATTTTTAGTAAAAAAACACAGGGTATAGAAAAACATTTATCAAAAAAAAAAAATAATAATAACATAATAATGTTAACATAAGTTAGAAATGTAACAAAAACACAAAAAATTAATAATTTACATAAATCAAGAAAACAAACGCCCTTAAATTCTGCACAAAGTGGAATGTTCTGTACTTTACCAATCTACAAAAAGCAATAATAGAAATCTGTTTATTGTATCATGGAAATCTGCGATAAGTACCCTAGTACAACCATTGTACAAATGATGTAGGTAAAAACATTTTTAATCACATACTTGTGAAAAATATATAGATAATACTGTTGTCTAAGTATAATATTTTTATGCAATTTAATCTAAAAAAGTTATATTTTTGAATTATTGCAAGATTTAGATTTTCGGTAGAATATTGATGTCTATCGGTAGATCGGTAGAATTTTTCAGAAATCGGCAGATCTACTGAAAATTCGGTAGGGTTGGCAACACTGCATATAGATCAGTGTTGTAACAGTTACAATATTTTCAGTATCTAGCTACAGTTACAGTTACTTACCAAAATTTGTAGCTAGATACAGATACAGATACATATTTTATTGCAGTAACTAGTTACAGATACAGTTACCTTCAAAAAGTATCTAGATACTTTAAGATACATACAAATTATTTTTTGCTTTAAAAATTTAAAATAGAAATAAAAGGGAATTTTTAATATAAGTACTTATTTTTATATATATCATTTTTGTAACAAGATTCTTTAAATTTAAATTTTAAACAAACCTTAACTGTCAAACGTGCAGATTACAGAAAACTGTATCTACCAC